GAAGGGGTAAAAGAAAAATAAGGGCTGGTTAACGCCTTTCGCTTTCCCCCTCTCATCCTTTTGACACCCATCCTCACAATCACACTAGGGGGTCAATGGTGGTATTTTCGGGAACGAGTGGAGTAAATAATATAGGGGGATGGGTGTGTTGCCGAAAAACCATAAATTGGCGGTTTCTCCGCACAACCAATTTATTTGCCGGATAGGCGGCAGCAGCGGCCGCCAGCGAGTATAGCACGCGCGCTGCTCACTCGCACACAATACGACACGACAACAGATGCAGACTCGGTGTAAAACAAAGGTCCCGCGAGGGCGAAGAGGAAGAGTGTGGCTGCGGATTAAAAGGGTTCGTTGGAGAAGACGGATCGCACTATGACCCGCCTATTCGCTTTGTGACAGCCTCTCCCCGAGGACCATAATAATATATCACCGGCACGCGCTTGAACCGTGTATAATATGTATATATATATATATATATATATATGCACGTAAACATATATCTACACTACTGCTGCTATGGCTCTGCTATCACGCGTGGTCTCGAGTCAGTGATAATAATATTGAAGTTTGAAGGGTGTCAGAAACGCGTACGGCCACTAAAATAATGGACTTGTTGTTTTTGAAAGGGAACCAAACCATACATTTCCGTTTGGTGTGCCTAAATAAACAACAACAGCCAAACGTTTAATGAATTTTCGTTTTTATAGATAAAAAAAAAACCCCTATCACCACGATTTGCGATTAAGTGTTCTGTAAGTCGTTTAATTTTTCAAATTGCCATAATCCACAATAATCTGTTGGAAACGATTTTTTTTAAGTCCAAAATCTCTGTAAGTCCGTTAATTCTAAATTGACAGATTGATTCTGTAGTACAAAGCCCTACTTAATTGATGTACTTATTGAAAAAACTAATTACTGAAATAAATCAAGTACCAGAAATTTTCGAAATTAAAAAATATATATAAATAATTATATATATTTCTATTTTACATTTATGTTTGAAAACAAACTAAACACAATAATGAGTCAAAAATAATATCTTGGTAGACATTTAATAACAGATAATTTAATTTAAAAATTAATAAAAAATAATGTTAACCCAAGTATTAACAATTAATATTGTATCTGTGTCTACTGTCTACATATAACCAAAAATGAGTAACATAATATATTGTATAGTAAATAGTTAAAACTTTTTTAAATAAACCTAACCCTTAACAACAACCATTATTCATAGATAACTAGTCAAAGGTGAATCTTTCAACTAACAGGGCAAACTACATTATTTTAGGTCAATCATGATTCATAACTTGCTTTTATTTGTTCAACAGTTAAGTGACTTTTAAGAAAATTCGCAAACATAAATTAGAATTAATTTGAAGTATATATATAACGTAAGATTCTTATATTATTATATATAATTTTCCAAAACACCATTAGGTGTTTTGGTTAGTATTAGTAATAATGAACAATATGATTTTGTCATATCTCAAAATTATAATTCAGGTTTACAAAAAAAAAAAAAATTTAGACAGAATATTTAATATATCAGCTAAACTTCTATTCAATTAGAATCCAATAATCAATAGTTTTAATAAAAAATAAAATAAAAGTATATGCTATTAATAGTAAATTTAAATTAGTATAAACAATTATAACAGAATTATTAAAATATACTAAACTTAGATTTAATATTTTTAAATAAAAATTAAAAATTTTACAAGAAAAATTCTGAATAAATATTAAAATAAGTACAACCAAATGAACACAAGAACACAAAGTTTTCAGTCACAAATAAATTAATTTAATATTCGTTAATTTAATACTTCACTCAAAATATTTTAAGTATATTCAAAAAAATGATTAACTAATTGTAATATCATATTTCTGGAATTTTCATGCAATTAAAACATTTTAAAATACAGCTTACCGTTTTAATGCCTCATAATAGTCAACAGCATTATTAAGTCATTAATATACAAACAACATATTATATAGACCACATAAATAGTTAGTCGTAATTAGAAATCAAAATCAAAATATATATTATATAACCAAGTACGTATACATAGAGTAATGTATACATAATTATTATTTATTAATATACTCGTTTTAAATAATGCATTAAGACACCACGAATTATATTTTACAGTAAGTTATTCAATGTTTCAGTCTTTTATTTTAAATGTATAATCAAATCTGAATAATTTTAATCTGAAAAACAATGTAATTTATATACCTAATAATAATTTATTATATTATATTATTTACTTAGCGATTCACTAATTATAATAATAATATACTAACATCATTTATAAAGTTTAACAATTATACGTAATAGATACCTATTTTTTTAAAGAATAAAAAAATATTTTACTAGAAATTAAAATTTCTGTCATAACCAAAAACAAAAAAAAAAAAAATATATTATTTTACGTGATAGTTAAATTTAAACTATTTGTATAGATTCACCGCATTGCTTTATTAATATATTCTAACGATGTTTTCATACAACAAACGAGTTTGGTAAAATGTTAATATCAATAGGAAGTGTAAATCAAGATTTGTGGTTCAATTAACGTTGTTAACCCTTGTCTCCCCTAATTTTGTTACGTCAGATGTATAGAATTTCAAAAACGTTTTAACATGTGAACATATTCTATGCAAACTATTTACCAATTCATTATATGAAATTTAATTATAATAAACATATTGGCCACCTAATTTTGCGAACAACGGACGAGACGGAAGAAGGCGTGTATAGTTTATTGTGAAAATCAATGGTATCCGTGGTTTGTTTGGAAAGGACTGGCCGACGGGTGGTGGTGGCGGTGATGGTTGCATTTTGGGAAAACCGTGTCCAGCAACGGCGGCGGAATTAATTGAGACCCATGTACGTCCCGGAGGCATCCTAGAGGCCGAATAATATTATTATACACGCGAACTGTACTACCCGTTGGTATTATTCGATAGTACATTGGCCGTAAGCACAGTAATGGGCAAGGGGAGTTAGGTATTGTATATTATAGTCAGAGGGATGACAGCAGACTTGTTTTGCGGTGGTTGGCAAGAGATTCCCGCCTTTTGGCACAGGTCCCCCGGTTTTCGGGCCCGGGCATTAATTAAAATATCCCCGGGTCCGGCATTTTAATCGCAGGGGACAATTCCCCCCCTCTTCCTCTTTAACACTGTTTTCACCACACTACAGAACTCTATGTCCTCGGGATGATTTAATTATTACGGGTGTTACGGGTGTGTGTGTTTGTGTGTATTTATCGGCCACACAAAGAGAAACGAGGTCCCGGCCGTCAGGATCAATTTACATTTCGGGATTTGCATATTCAAAGCCAACGATTTTGATTATCAAATTTGTTGCGCACCGTATATATATATATATATTATACACTATGTATATTCATCGCTTAAATCTACCCAACCCGGAGACAAGTTTTTCCAGTCCCTTTATAATCCGATTGTTGTGCAGACATCCTAAGGTAAAGTGCAACGAAAAGAAATACAATTTTCATCGACCGCTGTCAAGTTGAAATTTCGATAACATTTGTTAACATAAAGCCTTTAGTATAAGTTCATATAAATCTATAAAAATTTAAGTTATAAACCGCATGTTTTTTTTAGAATAAATAGTCTGTTATCTTTATCGCAATATTGAGTATTTTTTTTTTTAAATAATTTACAGCAGAATACTTGACATTATTAAAAATAATATATATACAATACAGGGAAATTTAATAATATTCATTAAAAATTAATTTGTTTAATTATTAAGATCCCTGCACAAAGTACGATAAATCAAATCAAAAAATAAACTTATTTAAATTGCAATTAATTTAATTTTGTGTACTATCATTTATCATACAAGATTAGAAGACACATAAATAGGTATATAAGAATATTTATACAATCAAAATTGTTATTTAAAATATAATATATAAAATAGTATACCTACTATATAAACCTAAAATCTGGGTACCAAAGTTAATTTAAAAGTTAACTTAAATATTATATGATGTATTTTATATTATAAAATATAACTGACGAAATTATGATCATACAGATTAAAATTAAAAATTGATCAAATAAAATAAGTATAATAATATAAACACGTGTTTTATACATTTTCATATACAAGAAATCGTATAATGCTTAATCATAATAAGTTACACTGATTATGTTTCGTTACTTATTAAAAACCTATATCACACACACACACACACACACACACACACACACACACACACACACACAAATACATCATACGTATAATATGTAAAATATAATAGTATATTATTTACTATATAGTAAATTGAAACTTTAGAATTCATTTTAATGATCACTGATCAGTTGCTACACCCAACTATTATAATTCCATTGTTCTTTTATCAATAAAATCGTAAAAACAATAGAACTTCACGATAACGATCAAACGTTTCTATCAAGTCTAAATTGGCTAAATAAGCATCTTTATAGGAAATAAGTGGCCGGCTGTTTCTATAAACTGAATATATTGTACATAATATAATACAATACAATATAAAATAGTAATAAAAACATGTCTATATATTTAATAAAATCTAATTAGTAAACCTAAATTATTTGTTTTTTTTATTATTAAAATTAATGTATAAAATACCTTATCAGTTCTAGATATATGATGAAAATAAGTTATACATATACTTCTTTTTGCTTTAAATGTTATCGTGAACGAATTGATAATTTTCAAACATTTAATTGATTATTTATTATTATTATTATTATTTTTTTTTTTTTACCACAAAATAATACCTATAATCTATAACTTACACACAATTTTATTCACGTTAATAATATACATTTACATATGTATTGTATGTTTTTTGAATTCAGATATTTTTAGTTATTAAGTATACTTATAAATCCCTTCTCCTAAATACATTTCTTTACCCATTTCTAAGAATAATACACTGTTAGTCATAAGCTATAATAATAAAAAATAACCTTACCTTGAACTTTGCAATTCCAGAATTTTCAGAAGCCAGTTTTGCCAAAGCTTGATAGTCACATTTTGCTGATTTGACAACCCATTCTTTAGTCTTGGGGTCCAACTGCTCAAAATTAATGATCGGTTAAAAAGATAATTATCCAATGCATACTTTACACTTACCGATGTCATAGAAATAGTGTCTTCTTCGTCTTTATCGTTCTGTAAGAAAACAATCAAATATGCGTAATAAGTAATGGCATAATCTAACATAATATTAAAACAGTTGAACTATGATTTGTGAACTCGAAAACATTGATCAGCAATTAAATTAACTTGCGTATTTTCATCAGCATATTGCGTATTTATGACCTCGATACATTTTTTGACACATAGACACAATGTTTATATATATATATACACACATTATATATATTTGGCTATTTGCCCCATGCCCCCTGTTTATATTTTAAACCCTCTTTTTTCTGGCCGCCAGTTATTAATTACTCTAATAGCCAGTAGGGAGAGAATTTCAAGACCTCTTTATGTTGTCACTCTATTAATCTTCGGAGGGCGCGACGACCAAGAGATTTATGGTTTATTCTCTATATTTTATATACGAGAAATAGTTGGTTTTAGTATAAATACGAGTACGTATAGAGCGCAACAGACATTTTTATACTATATTTATAAACCGGCTCAATTATCCAAAATTCTGTATTACATCCTCCAAAAGTAACATGAATAATATAAGTGAATTTATATGATGAACGTGTATAAAATATAATGTTTAAATTGAGAATTAAAAAAAAACAACAAAATACACACATAATGGAATGTCCATAAATAGCTAATAACATCGTGTGAACAAATAATAATCGATGACGTGAAAATTTCGTCATAGTGACCCATGACAAATTTCTTTTAGTTATCGAATGTATGAAGTGAGTTGCAAAAACTAATGGACACGTGTACGATGCACGTGTATTTATAGGGGAGAAAAATATTAAAAGCTAACGTCTTCGAGCGGCGTGCGGACACGCGGCAACAGCGTCGGAGCCGCCGGGCAACTTGTTGCCGCGGATCATTAGATTTTCGCATTGCACTCGAAACCGCACGGTAAGTGGCGGTTTTTCTTTCATATTTTTCCCCCAGAGGCCATATCTCGTTAGTATCATTATTATTATTATAAAATTTGAGTACGGGATTAAAAGTTTCAAAAAAAAATAATAATAATAATGACAACATTATATAGTAATAGCAATATCATAACAAAAAATGCAATGATAGGACTGAAAGGAAAATTATGTTAGAATTACAAATAATAGTAACTCATAAGTATAATATTTAAAAAAAAAAAATATTAATAAAAAATTGTAAATAACTATCTACATAATTTTAGATTATTTTATTTAGATTAATATCAGCAATACTTGGTCAGAAAAAAAAATTAAATATACTTATTATTGAATATGAAATAAATAATAATTATTTAACATTTAATAGTATTTCTAAGGACCAAAGTATCTCAATTCAAATATGTATTTTTTATCTAGAAGTATATAATATATCATATAATCATATATAAAATATACATTCTGTAATTCGACGACCAATTTTACAGTATTAATGTATATCTTTTCAGATAATATTTCTGAGTAAATACTCATAAAAATATCTTGTTAATAATTTTTGTAACATTTAACTGAAAATGTTATGATAATAATTGATAACATAACAATATAATTACACATATTTTTAATAATTATATTCAAACCAGTTTAATATCAATTAGACAACATAAAATTATCGAAATAACTATGTTCATCCATTAATATTTAATACAGTATCTATTTAAAATTAAACACAAATACATATATATATATATATATATGTGTGTGTGTGTATGATAATAAATTGTAATAACAAAAAAAAAAAATCAACCGACCTAAATAATTTATTTGATCTTGAAGAAAATACAATGCAAAACAAAAGTGCAAGCTTTTTACCCTTTAAATCTCTATTACTATGTTCAATTAAAATATAATGAATTCTATTACGATATCATAAATATAGTAAGACCTTAACCCAAAATTGTATAGAGTTAAATACATTTTTGATTTAATTCGAGTATTTTACACTTATATTAGCCTGCCATATACACAAAAAAAATATATATATATAATGTTCATGATTTTTTATTTGTATAACCCAACAAAAAATGATAATATACATTTTTTACTTTAAAATATAATATTAATATTACCACTAAATGACCTTATAACCATGGTAACTTATCAATTATCATTCAAATGTTTAACCATAAATATCCTGGTTCAATATCCTGATCAAAATAACGAATGTATTTAATTATAGACTTATAATGTAAATAACTGTGTAAGTCACAGTCTGGTAATTTTTTTTTAAAAGATTTCAAAATTCAAAGACATTAGTACTTAAAAATAATTAATAAAACAAAAGTTAGCCTATAAATATAACCAAAAAATATATTAGTTAAAACGTACAATTCTGAATTATTTTATAATAATCCAAGTCTTAAATATTTCGAAAATATAAAATTAAAAGCTTTGAAATAAATTATTAGTTTAAAATATTTAAATTAGCCAATAACTATTGGTGTTGTTAAAAAATAAATGAATATGTTTTATGTTGCTATGAGTTTAAATAATTATCATCATAAGCTAGTAATGATATTTTAAAAATTTAAATTTATTTACTAAATCAAAATACAATTTAAATTATTAAATTATATGGTAGTAGTAATAATGTGTTTATAGATGATAGTTCTATTTTCAAGAAGATAAATATTTTACCTTCATCAAATTTACAGAAATAACATTCTTAAAAATATTAAACACTATTGGAGACGCTATAAATGTTTGGCTTCTATTATTTTAAATGGCTTCTCTATGTGCATAATGCACAAATTATCTGAATTTTATATCCGTCGCCCAAATAATCCCCTCGTGCAATATTAACAGAATCAATATATCATAAGGTTTCGCACAGCCAATAAAACACGCACAATACTGGTAACACTATGACGAATTGATATTCCGCGTTTCAAAACACCTTGTAAGCAAAATCAGTAAAACTGAACTGTAATCCAATTGATAAATAAATTTAATATTGAAATAAGGTTTCGATTTGAATTTACCCCAACAAGATATCTACTAGGTATTGATTTAGTTTATTGTTATACCAACATTGTTCAGGGAATAATTTATTACGACATAGCACCTATTAATAGGAGAGGAAAAGAGGTAATTTAAAATAAAATAATTGCTTGTGTCCATAAATCACGAACAATATAGTTGAAAAGCTGTTCAACCGTCTGATGTCAAATGGTTTTAAGATTTAAATAAATCTTGGCCGAAAACTACGTTTTGATAATTTATATATGTAATGGCAAGATTATATATTTTTAATTTAATAACGGCAATTTGTCAAAACCGAAAAAAATGTTATCTATCAAACGTTGTATTAAATTTAATAAAATATTTTCATTTTTTTTTTTTTTTTGTAATTTTGCCAATATTTTATTAAAGTAACACTTTTTTAAGTTCAACATATCAAAAAAATATCTGATAAGCGAAATATATCAGACAACTCATAAGTTATTTAAAATTTTTAAATAATAAATGTCTATTTATTAAAATATATTCTACCGACGACGAGTGCAATAAAAATCACAAACAACAAAGCAACATTTTATATATACAAGCACATACACAACTATAGATAATAATCATATAATGTAGACAATTTGTTACCCAACTACCGCCTGAAGATGCACCTTAATGTTAGTTGTAACATAAATGTTCTCTAATTGCAGAGAAAATAAACAGAAGATAATAAGAAAGTTAATAAAACTATACAATTATTAACATTGATGAGACAATTTTAAAACTATATGTTTTGTTCGCATCAATTTTTTTTCTTAACGATATATATTATTCTTACAACTTAAAACTTATTAGTGTTCTTCGTTGGACCGTGGGAATATTTAAAAACCTAATCTTTCAAAGTAAATTTCATAATAACGCATATAACTACTAATGAAAATGTTTACTAATAAAAATTTTTTTTTCAAATATGTATTTAATAATTTAAAATGTAACACAATAAATTAGGATAGAAAAACATTTAGCTCTAATAAAACTATACATTATGTACTCATACCACTATAGCTGTACTTAATAGATTCATTCAATTACTACAACGCATACAATGAGAAGAAATATATATTACAATATAGATAACGAAATAAATTTTTCAATATCATGTGATTTATATAACATTATTCTACAACAAATTGAATTATATAGTTATTTTTTAATCCTTAATTATCCGTTAGATGCCAAATAAGTAATAACTCTATGAACTTCAATAACTCACCAAGTTGCATATTTTTGTATGTGAAATATTAACAAACATCTTCTCATCATCATATCTATTTTGTACTACATTCAAATCGTTTTTTTTTATGTCTTATCGAAAGCCACTTATTAAAAAAAAAAAAACTCCACCACATATTTTAAAAGTTAATTTAACTTCTTACTGAATAAATACAATAAAATAATGAATAATCGATCAAATACGTTGAAAACACTCAATGAACTATAATATTATGATAATTTTCTTCAGAAATAAGGCATAAGCTACGTATGACATTATCTAATAAAACTATAAAAAAACAAAAACGTATAATAATTATCAAAATAATGATTTAAATCATTATATTATATGGTATATCTTAATGTTTAACGTTTAAATATGACTAATCAATGTTATTTGTTGCATTAACTACTTTAATAACAATATTTTATTAATCGTTGTTTAACGTTTTTGATATTTTTTTCACATACACATATATATATACATATTATATATACAAATCTAATAAAATAAAATCCATATAGCCAATAAAAATTAAAAAATGAATTGTAATTGTAATTACTCGCATCACATATATAAACTTAAAAGAAAATATATGATAATGCGGTACATATAAGGATAATTTTACATTTAATTTCTTGAAAATTTAAGAATTAAGAGATACAATGAAATGAATAAGTTAAACGATATAGGTGGTACGTATAATACTATAAAAGTATAAAACTGTAATGAGAATAATAAAATCTTAGAAATAATAAAATTAATATTATTTGTTTGTTTTTCAAATTAATAATAAATAATAGCAATCAACTGAATGGTTTAACAATTTAATATACCCATTACATCAAACTACATATTTTTCAACATGAAACGAATAAAATAAAATCCATTAACAGCAGAGACAACACCTTTGTTGGCCAAAGAGCCACAGTTTCATTAAAAATAATAATAATTCAGTGTTCATATGTTTTTAAATTTTTTTTTTTTTTAAATTTAATTTAACTTAATTGTTATTTATTGGTAGAAAGTAATTTATTAGCCAAAATTAATGCACGTTACTGTTGATTATGAAGAGTGTATGTATAGGTATGTATTCAAAGCCTGTTATGTATATATGTCTCTTGACACAGAGAAAAAAATATACACACATATCCTCGGGAATACACGTTTTAATGATTACAATGGGTATTTTTCTGTAAAAAAAAATACGCGCGTATATATAATGTGACGGTAGCGGTGTATGGAACTCTATACTAATGAATGTTACACTTTTCTCTACCCCCGCCGCCCCAAATTTCAATCGAGTTCATTAAGTCCCGCGGTGTATTTAATTAATTAAAATTATCCGCTCTAGGTGGCCATGACGTGGACAATAAATAACAGTGGCTATGGCCCTTTACCAATAAATTATATAAACCGAATGTTGGGAGTGGACTTTGCCATAATGTGTCACCGACCGGCAGCAACGTCGACGACTATGGCAATGATGGCGTGCACTAGCATATAATATTATTATGAATAACAACGGTAGTAGTCGGTCATGTTAAACGGAAAATTTACTGGAAAGTGGAAAGCTCATCGTCCGCTCAATAATAATAATTATGATAATTTATAACAATAATAATAACGACCATACAGCGACTCTCTGTTTTGAATATCAAATTCGTATGCTATTAATTCGAAATAACACATAGATAATATGCGTATATATATTATATTGTACGATGGCGTATAATATGATGGCAGAAAACGTAACAAGCGCTCAAGTGCACCGACACCAAACGGAACGTCCTAAATACGACACAAACACTACATACACGCGGGTTAGAGAGTGGCAGCCGGTGGCAGCAACTTACGGGCGCGCATTGGGGTATGTTTTATACGGTTTAGCTTGGCTGATTTATAGCTCATCGTCCCCCATGCCCACCCACCCAGCTGGCTTGCACTGATTTCATAATAAACTATATTATATATTGTATACATGTTTACGATTTTTTTTCTTCTTTTAACTAACCCGATGTTTATATAGAAAGGAAACTGTTTCATTTTTAATGAGAGCATTACTTGTATATACTTATACGGATGCAGTAATTTTTAGTCAACCATTATTGTGACGATGTTTTTGAGACTATACACTATACACAGTACACACACACACACACCGAGCGGATAACGCTCATGAAAAAGACGAATGATCACATAGAAATTTAAACCCTACGTGCATACTTTAACAGTTGGCAAATATCCAAAATGAATATTAATTTGTCATATAGATCCAACACAATATTAAGACAAAAATATCTAAAATAAATTCATTATAAGCTTATAATTAATATTGAGATCTCAGCCGAATGTTTAAAAGCAGTAATTTGTTTACGTTATTCAGACCAAATACATTATTTTCTTTGGTTAAGCAGGGAGTGGTTTATGTTTTAAACATTTAACATTCAGCCAATAATGGTTGAATTATTTAAAAGTTATTTAAGTATACGTCTTATATATAGTACCTACTTAAATTAATTATCAGTTATATAGTCAAGTCATAGTAATTAGTTTTTGAATCACAATCAAATAACTAAAATCTTAATTGTCTAAATAATTTGAAGGTTTTTTATTGCAATTCAAAAATTACTTAATAAAATGTATTAATTAAATTCAATAATTACGTTGAATAATACAAAATGCATTACCCGACTTTGCCCGAAGAAAAAAGTAATAATAAATAGAGTACCTAATATTCTTAAAAATAAACTCTTTAACTTACAACAAGTAAATTTAAATAATTATAATAACTAATTTTTTTCAGTGTAATCAATGGCCAACAGAAATTTAATTTTTTAAAGACAAAATGTGTATAATATAATATGTTTTGTGCTATCCTATAAAGTTTGAATTACGGTATAAAATGTAGCCAAGATCATTCCTTGAAAAATCCTCTACGTACTTCTGAAAATACCAGAAAAAACGATTCAGATATTACGAAGATTAACCCTGGCATACAGATAGACACTTCAATTTTTTTTATGTGAAATATTTAAAAACGTTATATAATATATATCATACTACAGCAAAAAACAATAATGGATAATAGCTATTAGGTAGCTAAAAAAATAATATTTTATTTTTAAATGAAATTTACAACCCATGGCACAATGAGTAAATTATTAGCTAAAATTAAATTTAAAAACATTCATCACATTATTAAAATTTGTAATTTAATTAGAATCTCACTAATATAAAATATTAAACTAGAAGTGATGTTATTATCTTCATAAATAAAAAAATATATATAGTTTTTAATGATCAATTGAATAAGTAAAATTTAAGTAATAATATGTGTTGGTACATTAAATATAATAATTAATACTTCAAAAATCGCAGAATTTTTTAAAACTTATTGCTAGTCCCGCCATACAAAATACACACACTCACACATACCGACATACATACACATCAGTAATTAATTGTTATTTTTTTAATAAATATATTATATCATGATATAATACATACATAATACATTTAACAACCAATTATTATTTCAACAAGTAAAATGTATTATACCTAAAGTTAAAATAATATACACACATATACACAATACACATATATACACTAAAAACTTATTTTATTTTATTGTATGTATATTACCAACTACACAGAAATCTGAATCATTATTTTTTAATGGTAAATATAAATGATTGGTTTTTATAAATTTTCTAATATGGCATCATTTATGAAAATTGATTGGGTACAATTTTATAAACAGTACAGTAACAATAAATTCAATTTGAATAATATCAAAAACCTAATAAAATTAAAGCTTCATATTCATAAAATAAATAACTTTTAAATCAACAATTATAATCTTTGATGGAAGTCAAATATTAAACAATAAATTATCCTAAAAAACACTGAATATAAACCTACTTTCATAAATACAGTCAAATCAATGACTAAATGACCAAAACCTAACTATAACCTATAACTCGTATATTACTAATCCACTATGATTATTCTTTCATAATATTTTTATTTTATTATTCTTTACTATAAAAACCTATGTAAATATTCCAAGAAAAAATTACCTTAAATTCTGTCATTTAAAATAAAATAAAAAATTTTATATTGCTACTAATTTATAATACTAATACAATTTAATATAAATATTATGCAACTACCTTGGTAAATAAAGAAAAAAAGCAGCAATTTTAAATTAAAAAATAAAATTCTCTTTATACTATATTAGTTAAATTAATAATTATGATCAATATTGACCATAAAACAAGCAAAAAAATTATTCTAAATTACCTTTTCTATTTTCTTCTTATTTGGCGACGGTATTTGACTAGCTAAATGTAAGGCATTTTCAGATGCTATCCGGTTGAATTTTTGTGTTCGATCTTTTACACTTATCTGAGGCTGCTGAGGTTGATCATTTTCTTTCTACACATTACATACACGCAAAAGCAAAACACAAAATAATAATGAAATAAGCAAAACACATAAACATAAAAATAATAATAAGCAAGATAATCCGGCTGTGCTACTTTTAACCATTTGAAAACAAATCCGTAAAAAGAGTTAACCAAAACAAAATAAAAAGGATGTTTACTTACATAATTATCCTTAGAATTTACTATAACATTGTCACTCAATTCAATCAATTTAATTTTTTCAGAACTTCTACGCCTAGGAGGAACAGGCGGTGCTGCCTCTTTAGTTGGTGAACATTCTTTAGGCGATGCAATTGGAGAAGGTGGTGGACGATAAGGTGGGGGTTGTCTATAGAATAAAATTGAAAATAAATCACATAGAACACTAATCATAATTTGTCATTCATACCTAGTCGATGGTGATACCATTGGTGATCTTTGTTGAAATCTAGGAGGGTCAATAAGAGAATCTTGTGATAATGAATGATGCACAGAAGATAATCCAGGATAAGAAGTTAATGAAGTTAAAGAAGAAGCTGTGCTCATAGATGGTTCTAATGATAAACCAATACAACCAGCCACTCGAAAGCGACGTTTAAGCATTAAATACTTTTCTCCCTAAAAATTAAAAATAATAACCGTTGTGTGTAATATAATACTAGAATGACTAAATAGTTGTATTACATCTTCTCCACAAATAACGGTAGCCACAGTATTTACAATTTCTTTAAACTTATGCCTTGCTTCAGCTAGAAAACAACAACAACGTTTTTATTAACTATATAATGATAATAATAGTAAGACTTTTATGAACTTACCTCTGTTTTGTGGATTTGTTAGAAAATATTTAAAATGAGTCACTAGATCATGATTAGTAACTTTTCCATCGTTCATAATCATGAAATCACGGACTGATTCCAAACTTAACTCATTCGGAACAGCCATAATTTTAATATAATTCTACTAAAAACAAAACAATCTAAAAGTGCATTTAAGTACTTGAAAAATTATAAAAATAATACAAAGTGAATAGTCAAAAACACTAGTCTTGTAAACGCTTAACACAAATTCACAATTAACGTTGAACACAGGTTAACTATTAAAATTAATAAATATTCTATTCCACACAATTAAATAAATAGTAAATACTGATAACAAAAAAAATTCAAGAAACCGTTATCAATTCACCGCGATAACAACAGTGTACTTTATACAAGGCTACAATATGAACACTGTAACGTCCGTAACGTCAGCCAATATCAGGGGTTCTCAATATTCTCATATGTAATTTTATGCTACGTATAATATATTTTTGATATTATTATTGAACATCTATTTTTGTATCCAAACCTTATATAAATATTTAACAGTATACTAAATATTTAAATTGAACGCTATTTTCTTTTTGTTCTATACATTTATGGAAAATAAGTTAAATAATTAATGCATTTATACAATACCTACCTACATTATACTCGATGAATGAATACGAAAGAAATTATAAGGTACAGTAATAGATAGATTAAATGTGATATAATAGATAACTATTTCCATGGTATTTGTTTTTTTTTTTTTAAATTTATTATATTTAAAATGTGTCAACATACTACATGTTATTACAAGTTTATTAATACAATTTAGAATTTATTATTAAGTATGATGGTATTTGTAGGTATAAGTGGTATAACAGGTAAATTTACGCTGCAAAGTCGAATAGATACACAAAGTAGGTACCTACCTAGTTATTTAATTAGGTGCCTGTATCTGAACATTTTTTATAATAGGATACATTTATCAAAAAATATAAAAATTTGAAATTGATATCTGTCAATTCAACCTTTTATATAGTAAAAAGCCGTACCTTACACTAACAATATACCAATATAAGAAAAAAAAAGTTATGAAAAAAAAATGCTTTTTCTACAAGTCCACAATCTTCCTTAGATAAAATTAATTATGTTATTCAAAACAACTAATTGTTTTAAACTACTGTTAATAATTTTTACTGACCTACCTAATATAAATATATCTAATTAAGTATAATTTCATAACAAATTTAAAATCCCTATGAGCAATTATTTTTAGAATTCATTAACATTTTACGATTTTTAAACTACGAATATATATTAAGTATTATATTCTTCTATTTTCTATTATGTGATTAACATAATTTTGTACATTAAACCAGACTTTAAACTTATTATGTGAGCTTAACTTCCAAGTCCAGATGAAAGGCACTCGTTACACAACCAAGCAGAAAATGATAATTTGATAATTATAATTGATATAAGAGATAAAAGAGATATGTCTAATGTCTATATGTTTAATAGGAAAATATGTATATATTTTTAACTCCAATGTGACACACTATTTTTAATTGGTCGACGTATAAGTATTAAGTAGTAAGTACGTTAGGGTTTAACGAACAGTGTCTACAAATAACTCGACAATAGCTCAGATATATTAAAATTTAAAACGCTTTAGACTTATAAATTATAATATATTAATACTTACCTCATACCTGCAATAGTTTATGTGTTTCTATATAGAGCTAATCCTCTGCTACAGGAATCCATGTATTATAAAACATAATTTACCTACATAACACTTAAATATATAGTAAAAAAAAAAAAAAAATATATTAGTATTTTTTAAACTTAATTGTTTATTATTATTTATTATATAAGATTTATATAATATGAACGATAGACAATAGTCGGTACACCTGATACCTTCATGTAGGATTTTATAATCACTTCTAGAATCTAGATACGTAGTATAACCTTAAGGTGTTAAGTAACATATTCCATACTCAAATTTTTATATTATTTTATCACATCACACATATAATATTGTATAGTAATATAGTTTATACAGAGTGATTCAACTACCATACCCAACCACTTTTTTCATTACATAATTATAGATTTGAATATTTAGATTTTTTCAAATAGGTAGGTAGCTATACATAAACAACATATTTTTCAATTTCTTGAAATGTTTTGTACTATTAATTAAGTGTTCTATACAAAACTCCGTTTTATACGCCAAAATTTCCCGTTTTATACCTAATTTTTATTATCAAGAACTAAAATCCTTAAAAATACTTGTACAGAAATATAATTGTATGCAATGTTGGATTTATAGAGTTTATTATACTTGAATTATTTAAAAACAATATTATAATAGGTATACTTAAAATAATATTATACTTAAGACATTTTTATAAATATTTTAAAAATATATCCAATACAATATTGTATGATACTACACTAACACATTTTATAATAATCATTTAATTGGTGTTTGTACAGGTATAAACATGATAAGACTACTAAATCCATTTTTTTTTTAATCTAAAAATTCGCGTTTCTGGCGCTATTTGTATCTGTACATTTCACTATAAATATTCTACAAAGTACATTACGAATTGAATGTGTATACTATGTATATATAATATATATATATATATATATTATATATACTAACAGTAACCGTACAAGGACTAAAATGTAATCAGTAATCACTCTGTTATAAAATAGTTAATAATAAAATATTAATTTTATATCCTTATTTGCTAATGTTTTTTCCCAAATATTAGTTTTACAAGTAAAATTCGCTCAAAAAATAAAAAAAAAAACTATAATAATAGGCCCAATAAATTCTAGATGGTTTTATTTAAATATTTATAAAAAAAAGTATTACAACATTAAACTTATCTAATTTTCGTTATTGTCTTGATTACATTTTCAACAATAAATTCTTTATAAATGTTTTACAACATTCGGCTGTTGTTATTATGTAATATGTACTAATATAATTATAAAAGGTACCTACAATATATTTTTTTCTCTTGTCTTGTTTTTATTTATATCACAGTACATTGGTATTAACCTGATGTATTATTGTAAACAAGCAAGGGATAATTAAATTTCAAAAAACCAATAACTCTTATTTTAAACACTATATAATGTAATAGGTAGCACGTAATAACTGGAATACTGGATGTAATAGATGTAAAATATTACGGAAGGTATGTCCACGAATTAACTGTGAATTACCATAATAATATAATAATAGCTATAATTTAAAAAATACCGTTGCATTATTTTGTATAGGTAAAACTAAGTATCATGAAACAAATGTAGACGATATAATAATCCTTTCCATTGTACTAACAGTAGCTATTATAATCATACATGTAAAGAAATCGGAGTATTAGGTACTTACAAAAGTATCCAAGTATATAAACATGAACATATTATTATGATAGTAAAAAAACTGAGGAACTCGCTTCTACTGAATATGGTAAGTTTTAAGTAAACTTGTATTTTATTGGTTCATCATTGAATTAGTTCAAACATTAATAGAAAATAAAATTGAATCGAATTATCGTATACAGTAGCTAATAACTATATACTATTTAGCTGTAATCAAACGTTACAAATCTTGAAACTCGATAGACCGATAGCTTGCATATCTAACGCTGAGGTCACTATTATTGATATTTGATATTATGTTAAATTTAAATGCAATAATAAATAATTATAGATGGCAGGTACACCAAAAACAGTCATAAACAAAGACGATTTATTTTCCATTGGATTTAGGTATTTACTATTTATATATACTTTATGGTGTATTATAATAATAATATAATGTTACACTTTATATTTTGATTGGTTTTTCCTTAGTTTGGTAGGTGGACCCTATTTTTTCCAAAAATAACATTCTTAACTTATTAATCAAAACTAACATATCGCAGAATGACGTAAATACGTAAAGTCCATAGTTTAAATTTCTTGTGTACTATACATATAGTCTAAATATTTTAAAATTGTCATTATATAATATTATGTAAGAAATAATAAATAAGTGAAGTTCAAATTTTTAATGATTATTTTATTTTTCAAATAAAATACCGGTTAATATTGTATAAACGAGTATACCTATAATATATTTATGACGTATTTATTGGTTGTACAATAATTAAATTTATTAGCTTATTCCATTAATAAAATTCACGTCATGTAAAATATGGCTTGGGCGAGGTAACTGGGTAAAACCTCTTTAAATGATTTATGAAATATATCTCTATATAGTATTGAGAATGGGCATAAATGATGACATATAAAAAGATTAATTTAGTTATTTCTAGAATGTAGTAGGTACAATTCATGCGTGGGATATGGTTTATAAAATATTTCAAATGTTTAAAAGTAGTAGGTACCTATTCATAAGTGCTTCGGGGAATAAGAATGATATTAGGATGCAGCTGAAAAATGATAATTATTAGACTAAATGTCTAATTATAAATATTAAGTTGGTATTTAGTAAAATAATTTTATATTTTATTTTAATAACTTTTTGGTATTGCTATAGTTATTAATAATCGTAAATTTACGTATATCTATTTTAAATTTAGACATATTAATATTTTATTACAATTTATTATATATTTTAAAAGTTGAACGTACCGTTCATATTTTTAATGTATAAATAATTTACAATTTATTATTATACTTAAACAATATTATTTATTAATATTAGTAAATATATGTCATAATATTCACAATTTCTAAAATAAGACATCATGCCCGCTTGTGCTTTTTTCGTCTTATTAACGTATACTGCAGCAAATTTGAGTTCAACAGAATCAATTTTATATTATTTGCTTTATTAGTAGAGACAATTTTCTTACTATTCAACTTAAATAGATAAGAATATTATCTATGCAAGGTGTCACGTAGTCTTTTATTGATATTATAATTTTAAACTGAGTTATAGCTATATAAAATATTAAAACTTTAAAATACTCATAACTCACTTTAAAATTAAAATATTAATAACAGCTTGCCTTAGATAATACTCTTGCCTTTAAGATAGATAATATATCAATAACTTTAATATTTAAGCTAACAGCATGAAATGGATTATACACATTCGCTGTATTGTACATTGATAAGACGGAGACAACACGTGCGGATACACAACGTCGTCTTAATCTTTACTAATTTCTTGCTTCTATATCATTATTAATACCGAATTAAGATTGGTGCATAATGTTTAGTATAGTTAACACAATATACTTAATATATTTTATATATTATAT